GAAAGACTGCCTATTACAAAAGCTCTCATCTGTCTTGTTCTGCAGGGAATACTTTTTAATACAGCGTGTATTCAACCTGGAGAATTCAGATTTCCAGGAGATCATTGACGCAGATAATTTAGACAGGGCATTTAAGGCATCCATGATTTTGTAACTATCAAAAACGAATGTTGCAAATGAATGTTTTGAATGAAGATATATATATATTATTACATTTACAGAATACTTAATGCTATGAACAGGTCTCAAGAAGACTATTACTGGTAAATTAAAAAAAAAAAAAGAAAACGAAGGAAAAAAGGAAAATAGGGTAGGTAAATAGCTAGTCTTCCTGGCTTTCTCCTGTCCTAAGTTTCCCGTGTTCTTTCTGTCATAATGCAATAAGACACTCCAGACACCACATTCCTGGGGATTACCTTTCTGGGGGTTGAAGACTTTGGCCTCATTCTTTTCCTCACAGTTAAAGTGTTCATAAGCCCCTGGAAAGACACTGTCTGTCACGTCTTGTTGCTTAAATATTGTGATCGAGCCTGTGAATAATCTCAAACTGTTTTGACGTGTTCATAATAGCCTTTGTTCCACTTCTGCCCCGCTACGCTGCCGTTGCTCACGGACCCCTCAGCACGGGCTGCTCCAACTGGGCCCCGGCATAGTTTGGCTGGAAGTACTAACGGGAAATCAGACCAACCTCTCTACATTTTGTGCGGGATAATGCCGTTTCAGCAAGTGAGAAGGGCTCRTCTGTGGCAAACTGTTATCGTTAGACCTTTCCTGGATGCTTTTTCTCTGTGTTTTCCCCCTCGTTGGTGGAAGTTGCTCGGAAGTGGTGAGTGGGAGCCGTGGTACCCTGCAGACTGCCGTTCCCCTGCGTGKTTTTTTGGAGTCGTTCCTTGTGCGGTGAAGGTTGTGTTAACACCAGATGCCAATCATACACCACCAGTGGATTTGCAAGATTATAGGACAGGAAAAAAGATGAAGGTTAAGCACGGGGCACAATGGAGATTACTTATAGTAATGAATTGTATAATTTTTCTAGACAGATCTGGATTAATGTTTATCCCAGGCAAGAGATTACTGTATGTCTGATTCTACTTGTAAACAGACATTATTAAACAGAAGGTTTATGTTCATGCAATGCGACTATGGGTGTTAAAGCACTTATGATTTATTATGTGCAAAGAGAAAAATTAACCTGTTCATCTGCTGTAGTACTAGATGCACTGTGGGTTTTTGCATAATTTGAATGGCATCTGCTCCTTTGGAATACAAATAACTAGTGAAATTAGAAAGATTCCCCTCTTATATGCACTGATCCAGTGCCCTATACTGCAGAGCACCTGAGGAGATGCACCCAGCCAAAGAACAATCTTTTATGCTTTTACAAATCAATAGTATTTGTATTTGTCAACGTATTTTCACTTATGAATCTTCAGATTTTTTTCTTCACAATCAGAGAAAGTGTATGTTGTATTCACAGAACTTAAATGATGACCTGAGTTGGGTTTCTCAGATGTTTTCCTCTCACTTAGGTAAAACATAATACCTAGAGAACTCTCAATTTATAAATACATAAATAATATATATTATTTTATATATTCTTCACATAATTTCACAGTCCATTTTTCTCTTGTTTTATTGCTGCTTAACAGAAATGCAACATGGATAGGACATTCACTTTTTCAATATTGCCTCATTTTATTAGTTAAACAATCATACTGAGTCAACTACTTGTGTACWTTTTAGATGGGATGAAAGGTAATTGTGAACTGTAAACTCCTAAACAGTCCTGCTTTCATTGAATGGGCATTACAATTTTACTACTTCCTAATAAGGAAATATTTTTTCACTATGAAAGCAAAGAAAAAATACAGTTATCAGAATCTGTTCATTTTATTTACAAGCTCTATCTGTAGCCAGATTATCTTTGTATAATGCCATTTTAAATTATGTAAATTATGCATTTAACAATGATGGATGATACAACTGTGCTGGTTTTCCCTCCACTTTGTAACTAATCTGTCTACTTATAGATTATATTGGACATGTAGCTGATCCTTTATTTATAAAATTTGTTCACCTATATGGGAAATCTGCCTATTAAATATTATTGACAGCAGAGAGACTTCTCAGATAAGTAAAGATACTCTTGTATCCAAGAAAATCACTCTATATGTAAAAACACAGGAATGTGGAATAAAAACAAAAAAAAAGCCTGTTTTACAAGATGCAGACAATGTGGAGTGAATTAGGCAATTTGAGCAGTTAAGCTAGATCTGAGGTATATTGTGCATTGTAGCAGATATCATAGCTTTACTAGTAAGAAGTTCTGAATCCTTGAGGTTAAAAAAGTTGCAGTCTTAAATTTCAGTCAAAACAATTCATATTGCTTTTCTGTATTTCTTACTTATAATTCCTGATATATTCCTCCATGTGATGCAGAAAATACATATTCTATAGTGAGAAAGCTCTAACTTCAGCATTTGTCAGCTTTTGCCAAACCTATCAAATTTTATAAAGGCTGCAAAGTGTGAGGCTTGAGCTAACGTTTGTGAACAAATCCATTAAAGGGCAGAAGTTTATGTGGGCTTTTTTAATGCACCCCACAAGTAGTTTTAAAATAAGGTGTCATCCTCAGCCCTGTGTGCTTTTGAGCACCCTGAAACACTGCACGCACCTCAGAGAGCTTTGGGGGGCCCACCACACCGCTTAAAAGTTTGTGCRGTGAAGCATTGTGCTTTGGGATACTATAAAGCACGCACTGTCCTCTTCAKTATTGGTTGGCAGACATCTATAAGTCAATTCAGATGACCTCCATCTTCCAAAGAGTAAAGGTAGAAATGAAGAAAATGCATTTTTGTTATCAGTCTGCAGTGGGTCGTAAGTTGAGCCAGTGTTATATTTTTTCTCTGAAGTACGTGTGGTCTTGACATGGTGTTTAACAGTGTGAAGCTTATTGCTGCTGAGCTAAACATGTCTGAAGCGAACGATGACCCTCACGTCTCTRTGATAGCAGAATGTCTTCCTGATGTGATCCCACAGACTTGGAGCATTAAGTTAATTTTCCCCTGGATTTCTGAGCTGCGTCCTTTTTCCCCGGCGGAAACCCTGTGAAGAATACAGCTTTTGACCGAATGACAGAACATGGAGGGTGAAATTAGATGCATTAAATTAGAATATGACAAAAAGCCTATCTAAATATTTGTCACCCTGCTGCTTAGGTGGGGCAGTGTCCAGCTCAGGAAGTGAAAGGAGGCTGCTGGTGGGACATAATAGTCTGGGTGGGGAAAATAAACACGGGTAAATCATCCGGATTCCTTACAGTCTTTGAGGGCRTAATTGAGGTTATTGAGTAGGCTGCTGTGCTTCCAGGGTTGCTGATCCCTCTCGGGTAATCTCAGATTAGTTTTTTTCTTTCATTCGCTTAATACAGAATTAACCATTACAAACTTCTCGGTGCTGCGCTCATAAAGAGTGCGGTTATTTGGCCGCTAGAGGAGGTGTCATGCATTGGGTTTTTAGGGATTTATTAAGAGGAGATGGACTCTGCCTTCTCCACAATAAAAATACCACGAAGCAAACAAACAAACAAAMAAGCATCAACAAAAACCAAAGCCACAAAACCCACAGAAGCAAAAAAGCCAGTGCAAATGCTCAGGCTGTTGCATTTTCCAGGTTATAATAGAATATTAACTGCTTCCCAGAGGAGAAAATAATGATTTTCAGGCAAACTACCCTTTCCAATTAGTAGTCAGTTAAACATAGTTCAAGATATGTGAACTGCTTTGGCCACATCTGTTAATTAAACACTTTTTAAAGTAGGAGAGGAAATCACTGGCTTACAGTTTCCTGCTCAAAAACTTTGCTCTAAAAAATGCTAAATTTTATATGCAGCTTATTATCTTCACCTTTCTTTTCCGAGTCCCGTTGCAACTGTTTAAGGGAGAATGTGCCTATGATAGGGTTAATCCAGCGACATAAAAATCCATGCTGTGTATGATAGTAGTAAAGCTTGTGATCCCTTGATCTTTGATTAGATCCAAGCTAGTAAATATCTTGTGTTTAATCAGAATGAGTTGTTCTGCATGTAGTATAAGTCACCTTCACAGATGGGATGTAGCATCAGAGTTGTTCCTGAATATTTGTTTTAATCCCTTCTAGAGCAGGCATGCTTCATGTTTCTTTGTTGTAAATCAGATTCGAGCAACTAAATACCAGCATGAAAGACAGACACTTATTTGCAGCTAGGAATAGCAGAGTACGACATCCTTTTTTTCCTTCCTTTTTAAAGAAAAAATATAACTTTCTAGACTATTAAAAATATTCTGTACTACTCCATAAACATAACTAATGCACAGTAATTGCTTCTCTTAGCTTGGGATGCAGATAGGTTTATTTAGAGCTTTGTTGTATACTACTTATACACATTTTTAGCTTAGCAGATTATAAAAATACAGAAGCTAAGATTCATAGTGACAAATATTTGTCCCTTATTGTTCTACATTTTAAAAATAATTATGTAGACATGCATGTACTCTGTGCTGATAAACTGGGAACCTTAAAGCACTATCGGTAGGGCTAATCATTTTGAGTAGTATGTCAGCGTCCTATTTACCCAAATCTGTCATAATTGCCTTCTGATACGTCTTCCTTTGACATGCAAAATACTGAAAATGAGAGGACTYTGCACTGTGAGATTTTCTATAGAACGTAGGTTTTCTGTGATCGTAACTTCATGGTGATAACTGACGGACCTGTAGTTAAATGCACTTCAATTTCCTGCTCTTATTTTTCGTAATTATCACAGAGAGCCTTCTGTGCTCAGAGGTGTGATTAGATTTAACCTGCCATTGTATCTGAAGAACTTTCTGTACAACATATTATATACTGAAAGAATTATGTATGTAGATGATAGGTCTAACTGTAGTAGATAAATTATATGTGTGTATGAATTGCTCACATGCAAAGTTAATTCCCGTTTTCTTTATGTTTTTAACAGGAAGACTGGAGAACCGCCACTAATACATGGCTGGATTCCTTTCCTTGGGAAGGCTTTGGTTTTTAGAAAAGATGCTTTCAAATTCTTAGTGGATCAGCAAAAGAAACTTGGAGATATTTTCACTGTATATATTGCTGGTGAGAAATAATTTACCGTTTTACTATTGCTCTTATATTCCCATCAGTAGAGTTAAATACTGATTCAAATGTTTAGTTTAGAATCTTACTGATCTAAAAACATTTCTTTATAGCACAGGCCAATGAAAATGACTTGAATTCAAATATTTTATATGCATAATAAGCATGTGCAATATAAAATTATGAGCATGTGTATTTATGTACAGCTATGATATATACCCATACTGGCAAAAACCTTAGTTTTGTGCTGTATGAGTGCAGATTTTGCCAGCACATTAAATTACAAATATCTGTATTGGGTTTTGTTTTCTTGTTTTTTTGCTMTTTTTTTCCTAAAGAAAGGAGAACTAACATCATCTTGACACTGCACAGAAAAATATCAGATTAAATTTAGAAAACACTAAGAAAAAAAAGTGCCGAATATGTTCTCACACATTTTACAACTGGTTGACAGGAACACAAGGGAATGAATGACACATTGACTCAGTGATACAATCAGGACTGGAACACAGTGACTTCCTATTGCCAGTCTCTTAGTCTAATCATACTGAAAATAGCAATATAATAAAGTATGATATAACCTTGATGCTTTATGTGTGTTTAACTGTATTACTACACCAGCTTGGATACAAATATTTCARTAATTGCATTTAGATCTAGAAGAAAGAAATGAAAGAAACAAACACGAATCCTAAATGAAACCTTTATATATGTATGTATGTATATAAATATATGTGTTGTATCATGTAGTATGATATATTTTATATTAAAATCAATTTAAAATCAAGTATTTTCCTCTGTTCAGAAAAGGATAAACTGTTCTTAATATAGGTGGATGTCGTAGACCTTTTTCACCTCTGCAAGCTGATATCCATGTTCAAATGATCAGTACTACAACGGCGTTACCTGGGACTTTGTAGGGAACATTATCACAATTTTAGCTATTCCTAATAATTGAGATTGAAACAAAAGTGTTCTGTGTTTTCTTAGCAATGGCATTAGCTTTATTTTTCCAAGTAATTAATATTTAACAAAAACATCAATTAAGTAAATTGCAGACATTATGGTTAGTTCATAAAACTTTTCTTCCTGGTATGAAATGTGGTTTTATTTTTTTTTCTTTGAAAAATCATTTTTAAAGTAATTAAATATGTGATTTTTTTATTTATTACTTGTTTCCTTTTAAAACTGACATGTTCAGTTTTTTTCCCTGTCCCTTGAAAGATGAACTTCTGCTAAAATACAGTCTTTCTATTGCTTTTGCACAATCGTACTTTATACAGTAATGGCTTATTGAGAGTACAAATTAATAATAATAATTCAAAGACATACATAAAGCTGCTATAGTCATAATTCATTATCTTTAATATGTTTAATCAAATATTTATTTATTTATTTCTCCTCTTTATTCTTTTGTGTAAGAATGTCCTTAGAGATTTGTATTTTTAAGCACTCTATGGCTGTAATTTAGTTTAATAAATTTCTATTTATTTGCATGATAAACAAAATTCAACCTTGCCTTATCTGCCCGTGTTTTAGTTTTTGAGGAAGCCGTTGCTGGTAAAGAGTGAGGCAAATGGAGTGTGAGTTATTGATATCATTTCAGCCTTGTACGGACAAATCTTTGATTTTGTGAATTTGCCGTATCAGAGATCCTATTTTAAATTTGCTTTCGGATATATTCATTTCAGTATAAAAATATCGACCATAAAACACTTCACTAAGGAGACACAGTTTTCCTTCTACAACTCAAAAAAAGTAAAAAACAGAAAAAGAGAAAAAGCTTCGTATCTCATATCATCAGCTAATACCAAGACATGCAGGATTCTTGATGTCTTGATGATTTGACAAAGATGATGTTTGTATGTGCAGCAAACATAACAAAGCCTGTTCTAGATGTACTATCATTGCTTTCCCCTCTGGTGAGTAACTAGAGGTCTTGTCAAAACATTCTATCGATATATATTGTTCTAATTATTGGTTCTCAAACTAGTTCATTTGGAAAATGCGGAACGAAGCTTGGAGTTTCTGGCATTGCCCCGTACCGGTAATGCGATTTCGCTGATTGTACTTTCCCATGTGATGAGCAAATGATTGTCATGCCTAAAAGTTACAAGGGACATGGATGTCATCTTAATAAAGAAATTAAAAAGCACATCTTTCCATGAGAAACAATGTAAATTCCTGACCTGTCGTAGAAAATAGTTCTCTAATTGGTTTTGTGTGGTGGTGCAGCAGAATCGTTTTCCCCAAACGTCATGCCGGCGAAGCACTACTGTACATCATTGTCAGCAGTTCAGCAGAATCTTCCTAATAAGAGGACGATTACGTAAATGCGATAGTCTTAAAAAAGAGAGAGAGAGAGAGAGAGAGAGAGAGAGAGAGAGAGAGAGAGAGAGAGAGAAAGAAAGAAAGAAAGAAAGAAAGAAAGAAAGAAAGAAAGAAAGAAAGAAAGAAAGAA